TTATCCTTAAAATATATAGGTACCAAAACAGTCTGCCAGGTTTCCTATGACCTCTGCCTTTCTTTCTTTTTTCTTTTTTAACAGAACATGAAGCAACTAGTACGTAGCGTGTAAAGCACGGACACGCTTTAGTCTCACAACACGGTCATAGCTCTCAAGCTCCACATGGCATCACCGTAGAGTGGCCTGATCTTGGAACAATGGCAAGGAAAGCAAGCCTAGGATTATGAAATGGGGCCGTGACTTCAGTGCTTTTATGATCTTGTTAAACCTGCTGACGAAGTGTTAACGTGCTTAATTAAAGGATTGTTGTCATTGTTCTCTAGGGAATGGATTTGAGGGAGGCTGGAGTTAATGCAGGGAGACTCTGGCATTGGTTCAAGAGAGTAACCTGGTCCCAGCTTGTTCTCTGCACTCCCTGCAAACTCCATCCCAAGGAAATGTAATCAGGGAATGGGATTCAGTTTGCAAGTAACAGAAACCTCTCTGGGCATTTCAGGAGCTAAGGATTGAATGCAGAGAAGTAGTGCTTTCTGAGTTGCTGGAGCGGCTGTACACTGGGGCTCAGGAAGGATTCTGGAGAGCTAGCCTGGCCAGGGAGCTGCATCTCAGTCACGAGGCTGGGAAATTAGGAAGTCTCTGTGCCAGCACTGGCTCCAAGATCACACCTCCTCAGCCACCTCCGGAACTGTTGGCTCCAGGACCACCCAACCCCTGCCAGATCTGACCAGCAAAATGGATATCCCACTTCCTCCCCTCTTAACATCCTCCCTAATTCAAGCCATCCCAGAAATTAGAACTAGGTTGCACACTCAAAGTTATTTTGGGGGTGCGCCTGATTGGCAGCACTGAAATCACATTTGAAACCGTAGCTATTCGGGAGTCTGGAAGTGTTGTTTTCAGCCTTCCAGCCCACACTGCAGGAACACACCCCAGAAGGAGGCAGGAATCACAGATGATGAGTGAGCACCTACCACGCCCTGTAAGTCAGGTTGTCACAGGGGCGACGGAGCATGGGGGATATATTCGGGATACGCTGAACTGCAGAATCTGCTGGACTTGGTGACTGATTCGATTCGATGGGGAAGGAGGTGGTAAGAAGAGGGAGGTGACAAGGGTAGTGTCAGAAACAAAACCATGCTAGGCACAGTGGGGCATGCCTATAGCCCCAGCAATTCTGGAGGCCAAGGTAGGAGGATCAGTTGAGCCTAGGAGTTCAAGATCAGCCTGGGCAACATAGTGAGACCCTGTCCCCCAAAAAATTTTTTTTAAAAAGTCCATTACATTAAGCCATATTTTTGCACTTTTTAGGAGCATTACTCCTGTCAGATTTTTTTAAATCCTAAAAATTTTAAATTGCTTTAAACAATGCTTAGTGAAATGACAAAACACTGTATCGTATCTACAGCAATGTGAACAAATTTCGAGAGCCAGGTGGTCTCAAGGCTTCCTCATACTTGTGAAATTCTTCAGGAAGCAGTACTACGTCTGAACATATTTTTTTTTCCTGCTACATTTTTGTCAATACCAGAAGTAGATGTCAAACAAGGATGTTGGCCCAGTGGACTCCCCAGCCCACCCAGCACGCGGAATGGCAGTGTCTCCCGGGGGGCCTCCAGATGGCCAGGGTGTTGTTCACGTGGATCCCCGGCACGGGGAACCCTTATCTCGGTTACCTTGCTGGGCCTAGAGCCCCAGCTGTGTGCTGATTCAGAGAAGCCTCTGTCCTTGTGCCTGGGTGAGGAGGGTTTAAAGCGCCAGGCAGCTGCCTTGCCCTGGGTTCCCGGCCCCTCCCCCCGGGGTGGGTGCCCAGGCTGGGAACCGTGTCGCCAGCAGGTACTTCTGAGCAGGCTTCCTTCCCCTACCGGCCGTGTGAGTGGTTCAGTCTCCCTCTGCAGTTTTCATCTTCCACTCTGGCATTGTTAATTGATAGGGATGGCATCGAGGTGACTGCCGAGCATCTCATTAGGTAGCAACTAAATTGGGTCATGGCTGCCCAGGGCCAATTGCTCAGGTGGCTGAACTCACAACAGCACTGGCAAGTCCCGCCACTCCCCAACACTTTTATCAAAACCTCTTTTGTCTCCCGGCCTTCTCACGTAAGCATGATGTACTCATTTGCACCCCTTAACCTCTCGTAAACTCATCGATGGGAAGTCTTGGTGGAGACATGAAAGTGTTTCAAATAATTCTCTGCCACTGAGACAGCAGCTGGTGCCCTGCTCCCCGGCAGCCACCTGCGATCGGGGCCCCCTTCTCTTGCCAAGAATGTGCTGGGCAGAGGCGCCCGCGCGTGTGCTGTGATTGGGAGGCAGATGGTTGCAGGTGTTGTGAGCACCTCCTCTCCCAGAGTGTATACACCGAGCTGGGAAACAGAATGTACACCCGCTGCTAGTGATGATGTTGCGACTCACATCTCGAAGCACAGCCTGCGTTCCTGAAGCTAGAAATAGGCCGTGCACTAAAAGGTATCTATTATTAAAAATACGTTTTCTTCGAGAGATAGCACATACGTGAATGTTCGTTTTCCAGGCTTGCCTCCAAAAGCCCACTTAACTCATCACCTAGCTTTACAATCCTGCATTTGCAGTTCAGAATAGTAGCAAGGAGCCTTGTGTGCGGTTCCCATGGTGTTTTAGCTTCTCCCTGATCCCGGGAGTTGATTGTTTGAACCCTAGCGTAGGACGTGAAGCTCATTCGTTGTCTTCAAAGTGGCAGGGGAAAGGCAAGGCAGAGCTGGCCGCTGGCTCTCAGAATTACCTGAAGGGCTTGTTAGACTACACTGCTGCGCTTGCCTGCAGAAGTCCGCATTCAGTGCGTCCGGGATGGGGCCCAAGAATTTGTCATTTCTAACTAGTCCCCGGGCGGTGCTGATGCTGCTGGCCACATGCTGAGGACACTGGAGTGTCATAGGAGGAAGTTAACCCTCTAAAGGACAACCGTATCTGAATTCTTAATAAGATTCTGTGCAACCAGCAGTGCCCTCTCCCGAAACGTGAATAAACCTCCTCGACAACTCGTCCCACACCATCCTTTATTGACGAGGTCCTTGTGCCGTCTGTGCTCGCGTTCCCTCGTTCCCTTTTTTCCTGAGCCTGGTGTCGGAAGCAGATGGGGGAGCAGAGTAAGTCACTCTCCTCAGGTCTCTGGAAGGTCGAACCTGCCTCGGGGGCATCAGCCAGCAGGTGCGCGTCCCTAGGAGCTCAGGGCAGGAGTGGAGCCCAGGGCAGGAGTGGGAGCAGCGCGGCAGGCAGCGCCTTCCTACTCTGCGTCCATGACGCAGAGCTCGGTTCTTCCGGAATCCCACTGACGCCGAAACCCACAGCTGTGGACTTTCCAGCAGTTTGGAAACAGAAGGCAGGACCTGAGCTTACGACACCCTCTAAGGATCCTCCAAGTTACACTCTTGGTCCAAAGAGGGACAGACAAGGGGCCGGGGAAGACATCTAAGAAGACGGGGCTGAGATCAGGGCTCAGCCTAACACCTTCCATATACCCCATCACCACCCGTCCTGTCTCTGCTCCCAGAACATCTCCCACTCTGGCATCCCCAAACACCCTACCTTGTGTGCCTCTCCCCAGCCTCTGCCCACCCCAACCCCTACCCCTGGTCTCCACTGACCTGGAGTTGAGAGCCCAGAACTGGAGCTTTAGCCACTTCTTTCCGGCGGAAGGAGGGCGTCTGTCCCCCTGATGGTGGGTGGGAGCACAGAACAGTGGCGGCCAGCCCCGTAGGCCTCATAGCCTGGGCGCAGGGACCCTGTATATTTGCACCTCTGGCCCAGACGTCAGCCGCGTGTGGACTTGAGTGCTGTGTCCACACCTGACACACACCAATTAGAGGGAACAAACACAGGTTTCTCTCCTGCAAATGGAGGGGGGAAAAAAATGACAGGATTGTTTTTATTTTTCTTATTAAAGAATAAAACTTCCTTGTAAAAAAAAAATAGTGTGAATGTTGTATTAATTAATACTAATTGATCAGTTTTCTCTCCAAGTAGAGCAGATAGCTTTACAGGGGAGTATAGGAAAACACAAGGGACATTTCCAAGGAACGAATAAGAATGATTAAAGCTCATATTTCAACGTTCACTATTAACTCTTGCCTTTATTTTTAAGATGACTTACAAAGTGTGGGGAGTGTTTTGGGATGACACCACAAAAGTTGGTTTTAATTTCAGGTGGTTACAATCCCCCATGCAGAAAGTTGTGAGGGCCCCGCAGCCCCGGGCCCTGGGAGCAGCCATGTGGGGTGACGAGGTGCTGGTCCCAGGGACGCCCGGGCTTCCCGCCTGCTCCCCTCTGCCCGCCTCCCTTTACGTTCCCCATGGTGGTTGGGACAGAAGAACACACGTGCCCAGACTTCACGCACCCTCCTTGCAGGCTTTTATAACCTGTCCCAGACTAAAACGTTACATTTTCCTTTTATGGGCAAATTATGTTTCTCACTGGATTTTCAAAAACGTGGACAAGACTTAATAGCACGTGTGACACAGTACTGGCAACAGTGCCGAGGTCCTTAGAGGGTGATTGTATTGTCCTTGTGATTGAGTCCGACTCGCTCTGTGCATGTCTCTCTGATTCATTTTCTATTTGCCCCCTCTAGTGGGATCTTGTGTGTGATAATGCCTGGAAGGTCCATATCGCTAAGTTCTCCTTACTGGTTGGATTAATCTTTGGCTACCTAATAAATGGATGCATTGCCGACTGGTGAGTACCGACGTGCCTGCCGCACGAACCCTTGGAACCCACAGCTAACGAGGAATGGTCAGTGTTAGTTTACTGTTGCTGAGTCTTTTCTCTGCCCTGGTGTTGGTGCCAGAGCAGACGGTTGAAGCTCTGCACAGTGCAGAGCTCAAGGAGTTGGCCCATGCGCCTAACAGACCATCTGGAAGTGAGAATTTAAATTCATAACAGTTCTCTAGCTGCCAGAGCCCAGCAAAACCAGCCTGCAGCCCTGCTTGCTACTGACATCAAGGTTCAGTTAGGGAGAGCTTGAGGATTTGTGTGCAGGCCTCAGGCCCCGGGGGATGGATGCAGGAGGGGCATTTAAACGTGGGGATGGGGAACTAGCGACTTCGCCTCCCATGAACGAGCAGGGTGGTGCTGATTGGCACCTCGGCCTCCTCGGGTCCGTGGGGAGCTGACCTTGAGAGAGAATGGCCGGGCTCTGCAGGCAGGGGAAGAGTGGGCGCCACAGGTGAGGATTCCTGTGCTTTGTCTGGGTGGCTGAGGATGTCTGGGTGCCTGGGGCAAAGCGTGTGGCTCAGGATGCAGCGATCAGCTTGGTAGGATGGAGACCGGGAGGGGACGCGGGCAGGGGAGACATTAACGACGATAATGGTGACGACAACACTAGCAGCTACACTTCCTGAATGAGGACTATGAACCAGGCACTGTGCTAAATATGTCCGTACGTTAAAATACCCTCCCAACACCCCTGTTGGGTAGATGTTATTACCTCTGTCCTATAGTTGAAAATCCAAAGCACAGAAGTTGAAGTAAAACCCCCGAGTTCACCGAGCGTTGAGCCCGAGAGCTGGGACTCGAAACTCAGCCGCGTGGCTCCAGAGCCGCCTCTCCGCCCAGGAGCTGTAGCATTTCTACAGAAGGCCCTCTGTGGTCACAAGGGCAGCAGCGGTGACATGTCTGAGCAGGGAGGCAGTTGCACAACATTGACAGGTTTTTCAGGTAGTGGAACTGCTCGGAGAGAGGCATGGTGTAACTGTTCCCCAATTTACATTCTTTAAAGGAATTTTTTTTTTTTTTTTTGGTGAATCAGGACATCCTGGGCCCAATGACACAATAAGGGCTGTGAGTGATAAGGAACAAACTCTGGGTCTCTGTGATACCCTCTGCACCCCTGGAGAACACTGGCCTAGGCAAGAGCCTGGGGGTCCAAGCAGAGGGTTCTTAGACCATGTTAAAGTTGTGGAAATTCCCTTCCCAAAACCGGCATCTGTTTGGGAGTTCCTTGCACTAACATACAATGTGACTTCCTGTGTGCTCGGAATCTTCCTCATCATGATTATAAATGCTTCTTATGGACACGTCCCCTGTGGACGGTAACAGAGAAGCAGTCAGTGACCTCTGGAGATCAATGCTGGGCCCCCCTGGAGGGGGTGCTTAGGGTTTTTTTTTAAATAAAATACGTGAGTTCATAGGTTTTCAGCATGAGCTCTACTGGTCTGAAAGATACTGTTTCCAAGAAATCTGCATTGAAAAAGGTTAGGAAGATACACTAATGTAATCCATGTCACCTCTTTCAAAATATGCAGGCCTGACTGAAGTTTTAGTGTCCTTATTCAATAACTGACTTAATAGGAAAGCAAATATGGACTTTGAATGAATCAGTCTGTAAAGGTTTAAATTGTTTAAAGGTGGTTTTGGTGACTTACTCTTGCACATACATGCAGTGTGGCCTCCCGGATCACACACCAGGCCTGGGGACAAAGGGTGAGAGAGTGCGGGTCTTGCTCTGCGAGTAAGCAGAAGTCTGACACCTCTAGTCCCCTCCTCTGCAGTGGCTTTTCCCAGGGTGCACGCAGATGGGCGAGGGGAGGCTCCCTGGAGTCAGGGCAGGCTGCTTGGGGTTCTGATGTTTGAACATTCTGAGCAGGCCTCCCTTTCAGTTTGAAAGTTTGGTGTTTTCCAACCTTGTTTTCTGGCATTTTGCTCCCTACTTAAGCCTTGCTTAAAAGGAAATAAACCCATTGAAAGGGAACTCCAGACTTCACAGCTGTTGGCCTGTTTCATAGCTGCATGGGGAAGTTGATCGAGTCACACGGTAAGCCTCCTACGACTGCAGTCAGCATAGGATAACATTTAAGTGGTACACTTCTTTCTCTAAAAAGTTACTTTTTAGCACCAAGTTTTGTTTGGGGATTTACACTGGGTATCATCATAGAATGTGTTCAGCTGTCTGAGAGGGATGCTGGCCACCGTCTCCTGCGGATGTGCACCCTGTCACTGCATCTGTCGCCGTGGCAGCTCTCTCACCCTTCTCCAGCCGCCCTGGGCAGCTGGCCACGGTGGGCTGCCTTGGAGGACCCCTGGCCCTCCAGCTCCTGGCCGAGCACAGCCAGGGGTAAGAAGATCCCCAGGGGAGAGGAGGGTGAGGCTGGGCATTTTCCTCCCAGCTTGGTCTCTGCAGGGCCAGAAGGGCCAGCTGCCTTCTGTCTGGGCCCTTCCACACGGCGCCTCTCTCTCTGGGGCCCCAGACCATCCTTCCCGCCACGCTCCCTGCTGTTAAGAGCTGCAAGATGGAGCCCCTTGCCTCCTGGGTTCTCGCACAGCTTGCTCACTCTTTTGTGAATAGTCGCTTTATTACAATCTCCTCCAGTCGCTTCATTTGAGTGGGACCTCTTATTTCCTGTTGAGACCCTGTGTCAGTTCTCTATGGCCGCTCTCACAAATTACTACATGCTTGGTGGCTTCTACAACACAAATTAATTATCTCGCAGTTCTGTGGTTCACAACTCCAACGAAGGTCTCCTGGGCTAAAATCAGGGTGTCGGCAGGCTGCATTCCCTTCTGGAGGCTCTGGGAGATCATCAGTCTCCCTGCTTTTTCCAGCTCCTGGAAGCTGCCAGCATCCCACGGCTCGCAGCCCCTTCCTCCAGCCCCAGAGCCAGCAGTGGTGAGTTGGGTCCTCGTGCTGCACTTCCTCCTGTTCTCTGCAGCCAGGGGAGGTTCTCCTTGTCATCAGACTGGACCTCCCTAGAAAGTCACCTCATCTCGAGGTCCGTAAGCTTAATCACATCTGCAGAATTCCTTTTATGATGAAAGGTAAAATAGTCACAGGTTCTGAGGACTAGGGCATGGACATCTTTGAGGGCCATTATTCTGCCCACCACAGACCCTAAGTGATAAAGTCTTCTGCCTTGCAGACAGGAATGTGGTTTTGTTAGTCATCACCAAGGGGGTTCTGCTCTAGGGCCCAGTTCATACCAAAGCTCCATGCTGGTAACTAATGTGTACTGAATGCTTGCTGAAGCGCTTGCCCATGTCCACACCTGTCCCCACCTGTCCACAGCCCTATCAGGTGGGCCTCCCCAGAACAGGCCTGGCCATTCCCAAGGTCACACAGCTCAGAAGTAGTAAGCTTGGATTCACAACCAGGACACTCTGACTTCAAAGACCATGTTTGCCCTGTAGTCCACAATGATAAGTTTTACTCACTGATTTTTAGCAGTCATGTGGAAGGGAGGAATTTAGGATGGTTTCTATAAGATTTAAAAAAAAAATCAAACATCTTTTCTAAAGTATCAGAACAGGGCAGACCATGTTTGGTGGCGTGAGGAATGTAGAAATGCAGGCAGGAGCGAGGGCTGGAACCCTGAGCTCTTCACTCTGTGTCTGCCCGTCGTCCGTTTTAGTGGATGTTCCCAACAGCTCTGCAAGGCAGGGTGCTCATCCCCACTTTCCAGACGAGGGAAGTAAAGGGAACTAAAAATGGATAAGTTAGATTTTGTTTTCTGTCATTTTAGGAGAATGACTAAGCTATATTTTAAGTTTACTTCTGTAAATGAGTTGGGTTTGGACAAAATCATCTACACAGTCTTCCCTGGTGAGGGCTCCATGGCCCAGCACCAGTCAAAGGAAGTCACAGCTAAAACCTCAGGACGGGGTAATTGACTTACGTTTGCATTGGGACCGCAGCCTTGGCCTCATTTCACTAAACCAAAGTGACTAATGCGGATGGTTGGAACCTTAAAAAGTTCTGAGTGAAATTCTGTTTTGTTGTTCCTTTCCATGAATTAACATCCAAATCCTTGAGAGGGTGAGGCCATGCCTGCCTTTTAGCAGCTTAATTAACAGCTAACTTACAGACCATAAAACTCACTGGTTGTAAGCGCACAATTCAATTCGCAGAGTTACCCAGCCATCACCACACGCAGAGTTTAAGGCATTCTCATCACCCGAAAAGGATGATGGAAATGTGCCCGTCTGTGGTCATTCCGCATTCTTACCACCAGCCCTGGGCAGCCACAAATCTTTTGTTTCTCTATATTTGCCTTTTCTGGGCATTTTGCTTATATGTAGACGCCTTGTAATAAACACATCTAGGACAGTTCAGCCAGCCAGCTGCCCTTTGCGATGTTGGTGTACTAGGTCTGGATTGCCCCCCTTTTTCTCTGGACAGATATTGATAACATCCACTCTGCCCCAGTTTGCTGTGAGTTATCCTTTTAGACCAAGCTGGTTGTTTGATGGAGAGTTATTGTTGCAATTTTATTCCTAATGAGTTAATGAGGGGAAAGATGGAAAATTAGCATGGGAGGATGGGTAACTGATGACCTTCCTTTTCCCAAGGACCACCCGCCACTGTCCTCCCAGCCACCTACCACTGTCCTCCCAGCCACCCCTAGAAACACATCGCCCCCTAGTGGTCACCAATCTGACTCCGGCCAGCTCCGTAAGCTGTGAGTTTAGCATGTCTGTGGCCCTTTCCAGAAACTCGGGCCTAGGCACCCTCCGACGACCCCTTGCTGCTGTGGGCTTCATTGTTAGTTCTCTATCAGATCCACACCAGGTATTTAAAGTTCAGGCTCTCTCAGCTTAGTGTGTGATCCCTTAAAAATTACTTCTTGTCATGTAGCTGAAACAAACTGGCAGGTGGCTTGGTCCCGGCTCTGTTAGGCTGTGTGTAGAACCAGGTCCCTGACTTAGCTGACAACCCAGAGAAAGGACGTAAAGCCACTTTGCTCAGTGCCGTGTTGGCTTTTTATCCAGTTCCAAAGGTCAGTGAGTTCCCAAGACATTTTATGCTGAGTGTGTCAAGGTTCACGTTTGGGACATTATTATTGATTTTGTTCCTCTTGCCTTGAATTATCCCTGTATGTACTCAGAAATAGACTCAGCAACAGGAATTATGTTGGTTGATCTCTGGTCCTCGTCTCCAGAATTAGAGTAGAGGGCTGGGCTAAGTCTCCCCGACGGCCTTTCTACCGTAGAATACCCGTGGTGTTCTATGATCTAATGTAGTGGGTGTGGTATGAGACTTTTAATGTAGGACTTATTCAACATATATTGAGTGCCTGCTGGATACTGGGTTTCAGCAGCTGGCATCACTGTCTTATTTCGTAACGATTCGACTTTTTTCCTCTCCATATACAGGGTCGGCCGGCGGCCTGTGCTACTGTTTTCCATCATCTTCATCCTGATCTTTGGACTGACCGTGGCACTGTCAGTGAACGTGACAATGTTCAGCACACTCAGGTTCTTCGAAGGATTTTGCCTGGCCGGAATAATTCTCACACTGTATGCACTACGTAAGTAGGAACCTTCATAAATACTCCTGAAAAAATTAGCCGAAGTATTATTACCTGGGAGGTTCTGGGAGAGGTATTGTGCATGCTGGTTGTTTGGGATGGCAATCTTTTGGAAGCACGAACTTTAAAGAGTTGCGAACAAGCCTTTTCAGGCAATGCCACACGATGTGTGCTCAATCCCGACCTCCGGATTGGGTTCAGTGCACATCAAAGGATATGGAAGGTTGTGGAATTGCTTGGAGAAGTGGCAGCCAGCCCGTTGCTGGCTTGGAGCAGCTTTTGCTTTCTTCCAGAATTTTCTGCATTGACATTCTGTGCCCTTCTATCCAGTGCGTAATTGGGTATCGCTGTACGTGGTTCCAGGAGAGCATGCCAAGTACCTGTTACCGTGCGCTCTGGACTTAAGTGTTTTCGTTGACTCTTTAAGAGTTTTTCTCCTTTTTTTCTTTTCCCTAAGCCCATACAGAGTCCAAATTTTCCACATTCTCATGTGCCTCTATATGACTTTAAGTGGTCTGGAACTGAACCCTAAGCATTGATACTGGAAGAATAAATGGCAAGATCTGGTAGTGTTTGCTCTTTTCAGGATGAAGAGAAATTTCTTCCATCGATCTGTCTTGTTTGTTGGCCGCATTGACTCTGCTGTCAAATATGGTTATGTTTCACTTTTTTGTAGTTGGTGTTTTCTAGAACACAACCATAAGCCCGTGAGGAGAAGGAAAGTTTTAGGCACAGATGTTTGATGTATTTTCTAGTTGTATACTTTTTAATCACCTTGTAGAAAGATCTGCCGGGAATACTGGAAGATGGGTTGTGATAGGTTTTGTCTTTTTCTTTCCTTTGACAACATGGGAGTTAAGTACAGATTAAGTAGCAATTTCCAGTGTGATAAAATAAGAATAATTATAATTCTCTTAAATTTGCATATTAAAGACTTCTTTTATATAGTTAAAATTTTTGTCCCGCTAGAAATATAATCAATTTATGACATAGTTTTATAGCCACAGGGAAGAAACAGGTGTAGAAAATGGCTATAGGTGTATTCTTCTAAATCCATAGTGTGCAGTTTGTCATCCTCCTCAACATTAGTTAAATTGTAGTTTCCTAGAGATCATCTTTTCCAGTTTATTTGCATTTATTTTGGAACCCTTATCACTTGGGAGTTCCTTAGGAACGTGTGTGTGACAGGATTGGCGGGTCTAGGTGTTGGGTGTTCAGGGGTTTGTTTGTTTCTTTGAACAAATATCATGGGTATTGGGCTTGAACGTTCCCAGACAAAATGCCCGTGCCATTCTGTGGCCCTGATCCCTGTCTGTGTGTGCAGAGGAGGCAGCTGTTGCCTACACACGTGCAGGCGTGCTGGGGATGCTGGGGGCTTTTCCCAGGCAGCCATCCCTGCCAGACTGGCTCTCTTGGGAGGCTGGCAATCCTGTCCTTCCACATGGACAGCCATTGACGGGGACGGCTCTGCACTTTGACAAAATACAATAGTCGTGCTTTAAGAGCTCTGCAGAGAGTATTACCTCAACCTCACCACCCCCAGGTGAGAGCGTGTTCATGGAAAATTGCCTTACTGCGAAGTTGGCATATTGGTTTTATCTTGAATGCCAACTGCTGATGATTGGTCGAGGCTGCCAGAGAACTGGGAGAAGACTTCTGAGGACACATGGGGGACTCAGCAGAAGAGAACTCCTTGAGCCATTAGCCACGTCTGCCAGTATTAAGGAAGGAGGGGAGGGGAGGACTGCACATGTAGCTGTCATTTGCCATTTGGAGGGACTATCCCCGAATTAAGCCATACCAGGAGTGAATTGTACCTGAACAGCATTGTTTCAGCCTCACATAGAATTATTTGATTGACTTGCATTGTGATAGCAGGCCCTATGAAACCTGTTGCTGTATTTACTGTAAATAATGAGACTGAGGATGTTTTTTTCGTTTGATTACATAGTGAGCTCTTTATAGTAGAAAGTTCTCTTCCACTTTAGAACCATACAAAGAGTGTGCCTCTCCTAGGAAACTGCATTGCTTTTATCTCCGAGGCACGGAATTGTATGACCCAGGCATTTGGAAATTTTTCTGGGTAGTAAATATCTTAGGCTTTTTGGGACATATGGTCTTTGTCGCAGCTACTCCACTCTGCCTTTGTAGCATAAAAGCGGCCATAAATAATACGTAAATAAGCAGACGTGGCTGTGTTCCAATAAAACTTTATTTATAGAAACAGGTGGTGGACCAGATTTGGCCAGTGGGCCATAATTTTTTGACCACTGATGTAAGTGATTCATGTGTGGGCCTGACCACACAAGCCTTCGATTCTGACCTCTATCCTAGTTTCATCTTAACTTCCCTACTTTAATTTCTCTTTTTCCCATTTTTCTATCTCCATAATTTGTCTTATTTTGTTGTATGTATTTGTGTAAGCAGCCTTAAATTTTTTCTGCAGTAAAGCAAGGCATAAATAAGTGGTCATATTTTCTTAGATGGGGACTACAAATCAAACATCATGACAAAGCCCATTGTAGTGACAATGTCCGAGTATCAACCTGTGACCACTGTCTGACCTAATAAAGTATCTGGGGTAGCACAAGTAAAATAAAGCAAAAGGATATGAGTGACAACTTGGAGTTTATTGAGATAACATCTAAACAATGAAAGTTGGGGGGTTTGATTGAGAGATGGCAGAAGAGCCAAGTTCGGCAAAAGATAATCGCAAAAAGGAGATAAAGCTGTAGTGGGCAGGTGGGACTGGGGCAGGATGTGGGGGGATGGGTGGAGGGGGTGGCTCGTGTCTCTGCACATGTGGCAGTCTTGGGAGAAGGCAGTGGCTGGTGCCAGGAAGTTACGAGAGGAACTCGCAGTGAATAAGACAGGATGACTAAATGTCTAACTTAGTGTACTTCGTATCCCTTTACATACGAGTAGTATATGTGCTTAGGTAATGCTTGGAAATTTGTTTTGCTTGAAGAAAGTGATAAGCTGGGTCACCGGGTTGAAGTACTTTTTGACTCTAAAGAGAAGTTTAAAACTTTGGGACATTGATTATTTGGAAGTTATGTTTTTAATGGTCCCAACTTTTCCTCCCCCTTCAACCATAAGGTTTTTATCTCACTTAATGCATCTGCTGGAAAGGCCTGTGTTTTCTCAGAACAGAGCTGGATATCGCTTTTTTTAGTCTTGCAGGTGCTTGGCAATGTAAGTTGGGAAAGTAATGATTTTTGCAGTTTTAGTTTCTTGTGTAGCTTGCCATAAGGGCGGACTCTTCCTTTTGAGAAATGCTGCTGACTTGTGAAAATTTTCTGCTTTATTTGCAAGGCTCCTTAAGGTTTTTTGTTTTGTTTTTTTCCTGCTCTGGCTTTTTTCTAAGGTATATTCTGATTAATATTCTACCCTTTAAATTTTTGTTTCCTTCACGTTGCCAAAGGAAGAAGTGGTTGTGTAATTAGGACATAAAGTAGAGGTTATTGGCATCTTCCCAAAGAGTCTTTACGCAGAAGTGGAGTGCATGTTGGCAAGAGCAAGAGAGAACAAGCCAAGCTGAATGGGCTTACGCAGCCCACAGTGGCTGTCCCTGAGCCCATCACGAGACCCTGAAATAGTTAAATGCACTTGGGCTGTATTAGTGGCTTAATTCAATCTTTACCTCTAGAGACACATGCACACACACACACACGTACACACACACATACATGGTAAAAAAAAAAAAGAAAGAAAAAAAACTTCTAGACAAAGGGCACAGACCAAGAAAAGCAGCAGTAGATCACATTTCCCCATTTGTTTGTGAAAATAAAGTCTTGTCAAAGACTAGTCACTTCTCAGTGTGGGCAGACGTGACTGCTATGGGGTGGATCCTTCTCCCAACCGGGATTCACAGCGTCCCAGACAGCAAACATACCGCACTGTTTAAGAAGTGTCTTTCTCCAGATAAAGCCAGTGAGAGGTTATTATTTTGTAAGTTGATCTGATGTTAGATATAGTAAGCCCTGTGGGAGAGAAATACATTTTTTAATATAAATAACTTTTTTTTAGTTTCTCTCCTCATTTGATTCTACCTTTTCCCTCCCCACCTCTAACAACCTCCTCCAACTGCACTTTCCCTATTTGGAAGAATGAATAATACCTTTTGCTGACAAAGAGACCAAACCTTCGTTACTGTGGGCAAATGAAAGTAACTTTTTCCCCCAAACAACAATGAACGATTTTCTTGAGCAGTTCTCTCAGAGATGTTCTTAGTATAATAATTCTGCTTAAACCCAGACAGCCTAAATAATTGGATGAATTTTACACGCGATCCAGGAGTGAAGAGAAATTTTACAGCTGACTGACTGGCTGATTACTTTGCAAAATGAGAAGCCAAGTCTAGACTCAGCTGGTCAATGGACTCGGAGGAGCCTTGCGTCCGCTCTGGGCGGGGTGCCGTTCTCCTTCTCACGTGACGCTAATGGTCTTAGACTCTCTGGGAAGCGGCTGAGTGATTTCTAATGTGCTGGTGTAGAATAACTTTTTCTTTCTCGTTCTCTCGCATGTTTTTATACTTTGATGTTTCTCTGAACTAATATTCCTTGCAACGTACTTCAGTCAACAGGATTGTTGAGCATCACCGCTATGCTGTACATAGAAAGCAAAATAACTAAAGGGCGCCATGTTGTGAGTTGTCGAGCTGTGGAACGAGCAGAACGGAGATCGCCCACGTCACTTAGGAG